GAGAGAGAGAGAGAGAGAGAGAGTACTTAATATTAAACAATTATATTAAAATTTTATAATTACATAATTTATATATTATTATCATATTATTTATTTACAAAATATTTAACTCTGAAATGTTTATTACATTTCCTGTTATATTCAATATAAAAATAAAATTAATATTAAATAAATAACGAATAAATATACCTAAAATAAACATCAATTTATTTACTAACAACAGTATAAGTTTAATTTACTTTTAAATTCACCATCATTTACAGCTAAAACATATTAACTGCCAGTAATTGAGGAGAGTTTACCTTATTTAGCTTATTTAGATCAAGATAAGTTTTTACCACTTTTAGCCACTTTTTCACCATAATTACACCACAAACAGTAATCATCATTACTTATAATTGACGTTTGAGTAAACGAGTGTAACAAATGTTTTATCAGTGAATATGTCATGTAATGTCTTGTCTTACAATTTTAACATAAACTTTCAGATAGTTTATAATTCTTAAGAAAAATGATTAAGTTTGAGAGTTAGGGAGGGGGAGGGGGTGCGGGCCTATTGGTACGCGAAATACTTCTCAATAAAACTATTTTGATTATTGTTATATTAATATTCATACATGTACATTTATCATGCAATTTAAATAATTTGATATCTATTATTACAATTATTAGTATTAGGGTTATTTTGCTCTTATCTAGATTGTAGACCAAGCACACTTTAAACTTTATTTAAGTTGTATATTATATAAATACTGTTTACATGTATGTATACAACGAAATATATTGACAGCAAAATCTATATGTAAAACAAGTTATAATTTTTAACGCGAGATATGGCAGAAAACATGACATTAAATGTGATCATGTTATCAGTGATACTCTCATAAGTGATGTGTTAAGAAATATTGTTTAAACATGGTTTAAAATAGTATTCATATTAAGTATAGCTCTCTCTCTCTCTCTCTCTTAAATATTTTTCAAGTAAATAACTTGTTGTCGGAAATAAACTCAACTTTTTTGTTTTTGTACACAATTCACAATTATTTACAATAATAGTCACTGAAATATACTGTACTTTAATACTTTGAAAACATTAAATATTTGTGGGATTATCTCGATGTTTTGTACAGTACACTAATCATAACCAGTGATTTTCTATGAGTTATTATTTATTAGATATTTGTTTATAAAGTATGCGATTATTAATGGGATAATAATAATAATGAGAGTTATTTCAATATAAACCTACCATAAGATAAATAAGTAGGAATTTTACCATCTTAATAAATAATGTATTTTTAATGTACATAATAATAATATACAAAGCACTTAATAACTAATCCAGTTAAACCCCATAGGCAAGGTAAATACAAGTACAATAAGTGATTGACCTATTTGTTAATCATTGTTAGTTTATCCCACAGATATTGTACGTGTATTTTAAATAAAACGTGATTTTCCAATAGAATAAATATGGTAAATAAAGTAATAAGCTTGTATTATTTAGGCTAGATGCCTGCCCCGGGACTGCTTGCGTGCACATTTTTATCATGATTAAATTTTTGTCAGTAGAAAAGGCAATAAAACATAAGTAATAGATAATTAACAAATTTAACATTGATGTTTTACATGAAACTGTAAAATCCCAGTTTCTTTTATCATGCATTATTAATACACTATTAAATAACCATCATAATTTACAATTAAATTACTATGTTGTGTTTTTTATATGATCAGTATTTTCTACGTTCACTATACGCGGTGTTTATTATAAATTATAAATACAGTGTTTATTATAAATATTTAACAAATCAGTGAATAAAATACGTTATATTTATAATCATGATAATCTTAAAAATGTGATGTTTATTTCAATTATAAATAAATAAATAAAATGCCATTTTGTAGCTGAAAAGTGAAAAGTCTATTATAAGTCTATGGCCACTAATTATTATTACATGGTTAATTTAGTCATTTTACTTTTATTTGTACCGTTCAACACTCGTTATATTGAAGTGTGTTTTGTGATGTGTAACTAATATTGTGTTACTATTAATGGGGCTATTAATGATCAATTGTGTTCAACCAAGTAGTTAACTATTTAATTATTTATTTAATTATAAATTTTATTTTTGTTTATTACATATGAAAGCCGTTAAGTGAGAGAAAGTGTTTTAAACAGTAAACAAAAATAGCATAACTTAATAATAATACTGCTATTAATTACTATGTGTTCAACTGTAGCGCAAACTGGCCTAATGTTAATCAAATGGCAGCGAATTGTGTGCCAACTATTGAACACCCCGTACATCAACCCTACGCTTAATACCGTGCGATACCTGCGTTAGAGTGACCAACAAAACATTACCAGTGCGCGCCAACAATTACCAAATATAACAATGTTAAACCGGGTAAACCGCGAACTCCGGGCCGCCACCCAATCACCCACCAGTCCCATAGCCCTGTACCAGACCAAGCGTAACAGTGTGGTGGTGGTGAACAAGGACACCGGTGTGCCCACCATAGTCATACAGAAACACGGTAACGGCGATTACGATTTGAACACGATGCAAACGTTTAATTCGACGAGCGCACAGACCAAGCGCAAAATACTGGCCATGTTGCAAGAGGTGAATAATAGGCGCACAATTAGGGAGTGCCGCGAATCAGATGAAGAGTTGGGTAGTGTGTTAGGCATTCACACCTACTTCAATCAAAAGACTACACATTATAAGCAAAAGTACAAAGTGTATAATTTTCTTAATTATCCGAAAGGTAAGTTATTTGCCTGGTTTATTTTGTTTATTTGTATTATGATTATTTTTATTTATTAATTCTGAGCTAGGATAATAAGTAAAGTCATAATATTTAATGTTATTGTATTGAGATATTTTAATCTAGTTAGCAATGTCGTAATTAAAATTAGCCAGCTAGTTTTCGTTAAAATTATTAAAAAATTATATTATATTATGTTTTAATTGAGTTATAACAAATATTTTCTATTTAATTATACAGGATTTTGGGCCATAAGTTACCACATACTTGTGTTCATGATGGTGTTCGCCTGTCTCATAGTGACCGTGTTCTCCACGATCGACGAGTTTCAAGCCGGTAAGTCAACACTAGATACCGGTAAAGCTGTACATAAACAATTGCCATTTAAATTATCATAACAATTAATATTGCATAAAATTTTAATTAAGTAGAATAGCCAATAACTAAAATTAATAACAGTGCAAACTAACCACAATTATTGCTTACCCTACAGGCGCCCTACGTTACCTGTATCTATTGGAGAAGGTGATAATCGTATGGTTCAGCTCGGAGTTTATCATACGCTGGTGGTCATCGAGCTGTAAAAATCAATACAAGGGCTGGTCCGGCAAATTCAAGTACCTATCCGTGCCCTCCCGGCTCATGGACTGCCTGGTGATCACCCTATCTATAGTAGTGTTGACCATAAACCCGAGCTCCGGGCACGAGGTGTTCGCCGCCTCAGCCTTCCGGGGCTTTCATAGGTTTTTTCAAGTCATACAGATTTTGACACTCAATAAACAGCTACAGCCGTGGAAAGTGCTATCGTCGGTGATCTACGACCAGAGGGAACAGTTGTTTATTATATTCTACATAGAGTTTATTGTGTTGTGTATATTGGCCTACATTTCCTACATTGTGGAAAAGGATGAAAATGATCAGTTCGATAGCATTGCGGAGGCTATGTGGTGGGCGGTAAGCATCTAGTTACTTTTTGTTGCTTGTTTGTATTACTATTTTTGGACTGTAAATATAGTTCATTTACTGTAAATTATTTGCTGATAATTTTAACTAACAGAATTACATTTAATTAGATTGTTGTTACTTTAATTTGTTTAGATTATTAGTATTTTAAAAGGTTAATGACCAAGTTTAGTAGCAACAACAACATTATCCACAGTCTACTTATTTATAATTCTGTTAAATATTTTAAACACTTATGTAACTTATGTTGTTTTGTGTTGTTTTAATAATTTCTTATCATTAATTTACTAAATTTATTTTAATATTTTATCTCCGCAACAGTTGGTCACACTATCAACCATTGNCCATTGGTTACGGCGATCGCGTGCCGGTTAGTTATTGCAATTGATAATACCATTTATAAATTAAAAACATGGTGATGTTAATTAATTATGAATAAATAAACTTTACTTTATACACACATCCGGGATGATCTACCTAGATCACATGGTTGGGCAAACTGATCTCGTCGCTATTCACGGTGTTAGGTGTGGCCATATTCGCACTACCGGCCGGTATTATCGGCACCGGATTGGCCCTAAAGGTCGAGGAGGAGGAGCGTAACCAACAGCGCAAGAAGAAGAAAGTGGCCGCAGCCGTACTAATACAGTGCATGTGGCGATGCTATAAGGCTAACGCCAATTATGTGGCCGTTTCGTCGTTTTTCAAACACAAACCAATGGA